ATTGCCTTTGCTGTTACTTTTCCCTTTGCTGTTGCCTTTGCTTTTGATGTTGCCTCTGCTTTTGCTTTTACAAAGCACAAGCAACGCAATGCCGGACCTGCAGTGCTGAACAGCCTGCAGCTCTTGCAGGAACAGCCTGGAGCTAAGCTAAGCTAAGATGAGATAAGCTAAGACTAGCTTTGCTAAGCTTAGCTAAGCTAAGCTAAGATGAGATAGGCAATGCTAAGCTAAGCTAAGCTAAGCTGAGCTGGGTGAACCCAGGGGGCGCAACTGGGGGACCCGCGGGGCGGATACTGGGGGGACCGCCCGGGCCGGTTCCCACTGCCCGGCCCTTTAAGCCAAGAGAGTAAGAACCCTTCTAGGCAGAGCCTAGGTAGGGAACAACTGCTCGAGCAAATGTTATACCATTCTCTTCCTCTCCTCTCACACCGTGTGCCTGGCGTGCACTTCCTTCCCTTCCCTCCTGCATCCGAATGCTGCAGCGGTTAGCTGTCACACCGGGGTGCCTACCGTGCTGGTCAGGTGCCCCCTGGCCTGCTCCTGGTTGGGGTCGACCTCCACTGATGGCCGAGAGTTCCGACCTCTTCGGTGCGACACGACCCCTGGGCACACCCAGCCGCCTCGGATCCCAACGGACTCTGCGACGTTCAGTCACCTTCACTGGGTAGAATGTGAAGATTGTCGCGAGTCGCAGGAGGAAGGGGAGCCCCCCGCTGGGGAGGAGCTTAGTTGTCACAGTCAGGGATGGCATAGCCAGGGTTGGCACAGTCATGGTTGGCATAGTCAGCGCGGTCGGAAATGGCACAGCCACGATTGGCATAGTCAGCAACAACTGCTCGAGTGAATGTTATATCTTCTCCTCCTCTCCTCTCACACCGCGTGCCTGGCGCGCACTTCTTTCCCTTCCCTCTTGCATCCTAATGCTGCAGCGGTTAGCTGCCACACCGGGGTGCATACTGTGCCTGGCGTGCACTTCCCCTCCTCTCCTTTGTTTCACCGGGTTTATCCCGCGCGTCTTGGGTTTGCCGCCCATACCGCTGTCTGATGGTGCTCTGACAGCCTGAATTCCATGCAAGGATCACACTGGGAATAGGCGGTCAGGTGGCTCCTGACTTGCTCCTGGCTGGCGTCGGCCTCCACTGGTGGCCGGGAAGATTCAGTAGGGTTTCGCTACGAATTCCATCCAATGATCACACTGGGAATGGGCGGTCGGGTGGCCCCTGGCTTGCTCCTGGCTGGTGTTGGCCCCCACTGGTGACCGAACGGGTTCAGTGGGGTCTCGCTACGCTGCCGACCTCCACGGTGCAAGGACTTCGGCATGTGTGGCACGGTGCGCCCGTCGGCTGCTTTCTCCTGTAAGGACTTCGTTTTTGACATGTGCCACTGCTGTACAAACAACAAGTACTGCCGCTTGCAGTCCTATCTGTGACAAGGTTGCCCCTCTTCATTCTTGCGCTGACACGATGCAGTTGCGTCGCCTACGGCGCGGACGTCGTCCGGGTGCGCCTGTCGGTCCTGCTCGTATCTGACGGTGCATTGTGCCGATTCACACCGAGTGAATGACCTCTGCCTGCTTATGGTTGCTCTGCCGCGCCATTTTGGCTGCGCTTACGTGCTGGTCGCCACCAGGATCTCCACGCCACCGGGTTGGGAGTTCTTCTGAGTGGCTGCCCGCGCGCTCGCTTCGCTTGCCTCTCTTTTCTTGCTGCCTAGTCGCGGCCCGACTAATTTTCGGACGGCTTTCGACCTGCTTCGCGAGCCCGCAGACCAAAAAGTATCCCCACCAGCCTCGCCCTCTGCGTGCCCTCGTTCGTTTTCTCTTCCGCCGCGTAGCTATCGCCACCGTTGTGGCCCTTTTTCCGAGTGTCCTGTTAGGTTGGCTTGTCGTCTGACTACTTTGACGGCGCGCACCTGCCTGCGTCGCTCGCGATCAACAAGTATCCCCACCAGCGCTGAGCCGCAGCGTAGTTCGCCCTTGCGCGCTTAGTGGATAATTTAGGCCACTTCTAGCTTGCAATTTCCTGACGGCGTCTCGCACCCCTGCGCGATCGCGAACAAAAAATCCCCACCAGCCCGTCCAGAAACGATATCCAGGAAAGTTGGGATAATCAGGGAAGTGTAGAAGCAAGAAAGGGACAGTCGTTATCTTTCGACTGACGAGGAGGATGGAGCAGGAAATGGAGGAGGAGGAACAATGAGCAGAAGGAGGAGGAGGAGGAGGAGGAGGAGGAGGAAGGCGAGCAGAAGGCGAGAAGTTTTTTGACCGCCTCTCTCTTGGGGTGTCTCTTGGCGGTTTCCTTGGAGGCCTCTTTGGGCGTACCTGGGAACCCCCTGGAGTCGGGATATGTTTTGGGATTCGTCTTGGGGGCTCCTGGGTGTGGGTGTCGTCTGGTGGCCGCTAGGGAGGCCCGTGGGAGCCTCTTGAGGCTACCTGGGGGTCTCTGGGAGGCTTCTTGGAGCCTTTTTTTTCGGAGTGTTTCTTAGGGGCTTCCCGAGAGTCCCGAGAGCATCCGAAGCCGAGGGCTCGAAATGTTCGTTCGGATTCCCCGTCTGGGCTCCTCCTTGGAGCCGTCTTGGGGGCCTCTTCGGTTGTCTTGGAGGCCTCTTGGTCGGTCTTGGGACCGTCGTGGGTCGTTTTGGAACTGTCTTGGAAGCCTCTTGGGGCGGTTTGGGGGGCTTCTTGGCCAGTCTTGGATCGTCGGGAAGGTGACAAGGGAGCAACGCCGAAATCTGTTCACAACGTACAGGAAATCTATGATTCTTGTCTTGAAGGCCGTCTTGGAAGTCCTCTTGGAGGTTTCTTGGGGCGCTGTGGGAACCTAAGTTATACCGATACTTCATCGATATGGAACCCTCGAACATCGTCTTGGGGACATCATCTTGGAGCACTTCTGCCGCGTCCTGCAGCTTTTGTTGGCCGCCGAACCGCCCGAGGGGGAGTCGTATCTGCCCCGGGACCCCACCCCCAGGACCCCCCCCTCTCCCGGTGGCGAAGGGATCAAAGGGAAGGGGCTTCCTTTCGTTTCAACTACAGCGTTGCTGAATTTCGCTGTGGCTGGCGCGCTCGAGGAGGAGGGCTCGACGAGTCAAACGGAACACCCTCTTTCTTAGGCGTGTTTCATGTCTCGAATTGTTGAGTCCGCACGTTGGTATTGCAATGCCACTTGAATGTTGTATCCGCTTCGCGCATGCTGCCGGCCCATATTATATCATTCTTGCCATTTGCGTGTGTGTTCGTGGGAATTGGGAAGTTCTTCGGTAATGGTAGGTTCCCTAAGCTGTCGTGTGAAGCTCGCGTGGGGGAAGTAGTCGCTCAGTAGAGTGAGAACAACGCTCAGCTCAAAAACCCGAGCAGGCAATCGTTTAAAACTCCTTCGGTGGCTGTCGAAGTATCCCGGGGGACTCTTCGGGTTCTCTAAGAGTTCTGGGAGGTTTCATTGGGTCTCCTGGGGGCTTCTGAGCGGCCCCTTGCAGGCCTCTTGGGGGCATTTCGGGTTCTCTTAGAGGGATGCGTGGCTCCTGGCTTCAGCGGTTCGGGCCGTGCACCTTCAGGCAGCGGCACTCGGCCCACAGCAGTCTCGGCCCTCCCCCCTCTCGCAGAGACCTGCATCTGCGCCTCATTGCGTTTACCACTCGGTTATCCCCCGTGCGCCACCGCATCTCGCTGCGGCCGGCGTCCCCCCGCCACTGGCTCTGCCTCCAGATCTCCTCCTGGAAGAGGCGGGCCTCTTCCCAGCCTCGTGGCCTCGTTCCTTCTGCCTGGCTGGTCGCGCCCACAGCCCACGTCCGCGCGGCGAGCCGGCCCACCCTCTTCGCTGGTTGGCGCCCGACGGCCGTTCCAGTCGCGCCGCGCCCCTCGTCGGCCACAATTCCAGCGACCGCCCAGCTGCGCAGGGCTCCTATCTGCTGGGGGCCCATGGGAGGCACGATGAACACAAGAATGCGGGCGATGTCGACGCCATGGAGGAAGCGGGTCCTGAGGGAAACGGGTCCTGAGGTTTTTCACCGTTTTCGGGCTCTCGGGGCATTCCATGGGACCGGGGACTGTCAGAAAACGGCTCAGGATGGAGATCTCGTCTTAGGGGAAAGCCCCAGGGTCCAGGACCCGTTTCCTTCAGGACCCGTTTCCCCCATGCTAGATTTTGGCTTCTGAAAGCTATTCTGGGGAGTGAATCAGAGGAAGACGGAAAGCTGCGTCGCGACGAGGAAGGAGAGCCAAGAACGAACAATGAGATGGAATACAGCGGAAGGGGGGCGTGGTGGGATGGAGGGCATAGCCATGGGACACATGTGAACAGGAGTGCGGTAGGCGCCTCGTCGGAACAGGTGCTGGGAAAAAGCCTTGGCTCGGATGTTTCGAAACGGCAGCAATTTGTGTAGCCAGTTGGACAGTGCAAGGTATCTGGCGGTCTCTGAGCGAAGCCGCCGCCGGGCTTGGGTTGCGGGCAGTGGCCGTTGGACGCATCTTGGGTTGTCTTGGGTTCTCTGGGGCCTCTTGGAGGCTCATTTGGGGTGGCCTTTCGGGGGCCTCTTTGGAGGCTTCTTGGGGTTGCTTGGCGGTATCAAGTGAGCGCGGTTTCCCCCTCTGTGGCCGCTCTGGGGGGGGCGCCTTGGGGCCCTCTTGAACGCCTGTTGGGGTAGGGGGGAGGTGGGCGGGCGCGGGGGCCACTGAGCGCAGGGGGTGGCACCCAAAGCGGATGCGGGGGGGCGAGCTGGCGGGGCTGGCCTAAGCGGTGAACAGGCGGGTGGCCACGGGGCCAGGGTGTTCGAAGGTGCGCCATGCGCCGACAGTCCAGCCGAGGAGCTAATCATTGGACGGGCGGTGATCGTCGTTGGTGCCCAGGGGATCGGTCGCGGGCGTGTTAGACTCGCCGTGCGAGTCTTCATGGCCACCATGCCCCATCTGCACTGGCTCCTCCGCTCCTTCTCCGAGGGAGGGAGGCCTCCCCGCATGCTGCTTCTAGCTTTCTGAATCCTGCTGCGCCTGCCCCATGGGCCAGGCCTCAACGTCGTGGTCAAGCCGCAACGGAGATTGGGTGGGCAGCTAATCGCTAGTCGTTGCAAAGTGCCATGGAGAGAGGAGTTCAGATTGGAAGCGAAGAATGACGGACAAGCTGCAGGCATTTCCCTGCACGGTCAACAGAAGTACTTTGCCGCACTTGTGGTGTGGCGGTCCACTTCGCCGTTTCAATATTGCAGCACTGGTTGTTATCGTTATGGTATCTAGGCTGCCTACAGTTCTGACAAAACATTGGTGGTATTGGTTCTCCAGGCGTACATAATGAGATATGAACTGGCACCGCGGCCCCCCAAATCATGTTTACCCACCACGGTTGTGGAGTGATTGACGCTCCACCAGCGAAATTGGTTTCCAGGCGAGGTGTCGCGAGAAGGGTCCTGTGGGGGGGAGCACTGGTGACACAGACAAGGGGGCACTGGTCAAACCGAAGCAGCGGTCACCCCAAGCAGCCCCCGACAATGGCCAACTTGGCGAGTCAGAAAGTGGAGACCACTTGGAGCCATCTCGGGTTCCTTGTGGGAGCCTGTGGGGCCATCTTTGAGCTCTTGGGGGCCCCCCTGGGGTATTCTACACGGTTTTAGGGGCCACACAGGGAGGTCCCCCCCACTTTCTTGGAGCAGAGCAACTCTTAGGCCCCTTTGGGGGTCTTCCTTGGGGGCCTCTGCTCCCTTTTGGGCGTCTCTGGGACTGTTTTAAAAGTTTCAGCTGACAATCGGATGCGAAAGGCGAGAACAAAAACAGCATCGACAAAACATTGGTTGTTTGACGCCTTCGGCCTCTCGGGGGCATCCTTAGGAGGCTCCCTGGCGACATCGGGGCGTCTTGTGGCTATCTTGAGGCCTGCACCAGGTACGTTGTTGCACCATCCTGCAAGATCGTAGAAGCAACGTTCAGCTATCTGGAGCCATCTTGACACCATGTAAGGCCATCTTGAACGCTCCAACCCCAGAATGGGTCTCCGCCTAGACCCCCGAGGAGAGGGCGAAGAGAGTAGGAGAGAACCCCTCCCCAAAGGGGAAGAAAGGGTTGTTCTGGAAGAACAGTTGGGATGGCCTTGGTTGAATCGTCTAATATTGACCTTCTCTGATCCATGTTCCGAGTTTGCCCCCACCAGCTTATCTGCGAGGCGTGTTCGCTTGGATTGAAAGATTGTTGGCCCAAACCCCAGAAAGAACTGATACTTCACGCTGTCCACTGAAAAACACACCGGAAATGGGGCATTGGATGGAAAGCGTGAGGCTGCTGAAACAGAGGAGGCAAAGTGCCAGCGCTTGCACCGGGGGCCACACGCCGCCGTTCAGGCGAGAATGCCGACCGCAGCAACGATCGCAGCAACGCCAGCCTGGCCTTCTCGGAGCCCCCCAGGGGGGGGGGGGGAAGGGGAAGCTCACCTGAGATCCTGGCGTTTCTACTTGTTCGAGGTGGGCGTTTTCGCCCAGTTTCAGGTCCGGGGACCTTCACGGATCCCGGTTCGAAAAACCGCGCGGAAGGATGGGGTCAGGGTCCGGGGTTCCGGTTGTGGTTTGTCTTTGCGCTGCCATTTTTTCGCTACGTCGGCGGATCTCAGGGTCCCCATTGCTCCGTGGCGGAGTCCCCCTGTTTAGCCATCTCTTGCGCTCGATGTTCTGCTCGTTGCCGTCCAGAGTGGTGGCAGGGTCTAGCACGAATGGTATGAGCACAAGCATTCCTCTCCTCATCCCTCCTCCGCCTCTCTTTTCCGTCCTCCGTCGCCTCTGCCCCCTTCCGCGAAGTCGATTTCTCGGTCGCGTTCCCGTCGATTGACGCGGGCTTTTCGAACAGAGCCATGAAGATACATCGCTGGCTATGCCATAAGACCCTCGGCACGAGCATGCTTCGCGGGCGGCTGCGCAACCAGGTACCACTGTCTGATCGGGACTTTGAGCCTGAGACGACGGACGTGGACTACGAGAGCACTGGCAGAAGACACAGCACTGGTTTTTCATTCTTAGCACAAAAGCCACCGACCCATCTTCACAACACGCGCGTTTGAAGCACTATGGTTTTCAAACCTGTTACAATTCACCAGACAAGAAAGCACCACCACCACCAGCTCGGGGGGGGCCTTTCGGAACGGAATCCAATGGAGTTCTGGTGGTGGTGGTTCTTCTTATTACCATGAAGAATTATGGCCACACCGCCTTGGGATGCGGATGCTCCGCCTCCCCAACGCGGTGCACAGCCAGCCAGGTCTGATCTCCCAGTTGCCCGGGCAACTCCGGGGGAATACCTTGATTTGCACATCGCGCCCGCCAAAGTCGATTGATGTTGAGAATACCACTGGCGAAACACATGGCGCGTCTGGTGGCGCGGAGCTGGAGCGGACTTGGCCTGCACATGGCGCTCTTGGCCTCCAATGTGTACGTGTTCCTGACAGAGGCCCCGCCGCAGAGGGTTGTCGATGTGGAATAGGAGCACGTGGCTGCGCGGCGTGGTGCCTTGGGCCTGGGCACACGGGCACCTCTGCTGGCATGCACCACGAGGGCCCGCAAGGATTCTCTGCTCAGGTTCGACCTCGCCCAGAGATTGCCACAACGGCGCGTTGCACACGGTCGGTTTCGCGCGCGCGGCCCCGCTCGATCGTCGCAAGAACAAACAGGATTGGCGCTGTGTCCCATGGCGCATGTTTGGCCCACTTGAACCGAATATTACCTTGTTGCCGCTTTCCACTTGTCTGATTTGTTTTGCCATGCAACGCCACTACGCGCACATGTCTGGAAGGCGCGGGCGCATTGACTGGGCACCATGGAAACGGGATTCACGATGGCACGTCGATGCACAAACCACATTAATCATTGGTCGCTTGCCGCAGTGGCATGAGTCGTTCGACCAGAAACTACCAACATTGACTCTTTCGCACAGCGCGCGAACACGCTGCGGAAGGAGCACTCACATTGGCGTCGCGAGCAGGTATAGATGTTTCCACGCATGGATCGTTAAATGAAGAGAACCCGGAGATGCATCACAGCACGCCTCCTAAGGCGCGACGGACACAGCGCGGAGTAGGGATTGATCGGCATTTGCCAGATCCTTCCGCGGCGAGCGCAACTGTTGGCGCGACAGTCTTGCCGCCTGGAGAATCTTGCCTTCCCGGGAAATTGCGCGACACCCCGAAGAGAAATGCTTATCGGGTGGGTCATTGGCAGGCGAACCAGATCCATTTGACGCGCTCGTCGAACATGAATTTTGATCCTCCAAGAACCTTGGGAAAGTCAATGATCATGGCATCTTGGGGCCCTGTTGGGAAGCCTCTTAGGCCTTTGGATGCATCTTGGAGGGCCCCTTGGGCAATCCGGAGACCATTGCGGTCGACTCGGGGCCCTCTTGGACCATCGCCCTGGCCCCCCAGGGGCCTCAAGGCCCGTCTCGGGGCCTCCTTCGGCCCAAAAAGTCACGCGCCACCATTCGGCGAAGCCCGGGGGGCGCGCGGGAAGCCCCAGGGGCCCCTGGAGATTTCGGAACGCGGGGCCTGGGCCCCTGAGAGACTCCAGAGGAGTGCGGATCGAGGCTTAGAGGATTAGGCAAAGGACCCGAGGACTCCGCGCCCAGAGGCGCGGTGGCGGATATATGCACGTACTATATGTATATATATATATATATATATATATATATATATATATATATATATATATATATATATATATATATATATGTATCTATGCAGCCCGCGAAGCGGACGGATAAGACAAGGGCCGCATGGCATGACGGGTCCATCGCATCGGAGAAAATAATCACCCATGGCAGCGCGAGTGGATACCCCGACGGCTCGCCCCAGCGCGCCGACAGCGATTGCGGCAAGCGGATTTGGCCGAGGCGCCAGACAGAGCGCGGGCGGCGGAGAACGAATTTGAGTTGCTAGACGGCGAGGTGGAGGCGGTCGGGGCGCGGGCGTGCAATCCAGAGACGGTGCCGGGCACATCTAGAACGATTGTTGAACGAGATCAAGCAGCAAGGTCGAGATGGTTTCAGTATAGGACGGTCAAGCCCTCCGCCAAGCCCCGGAACAGGTTCAAGCTGAGCCACGACAAGCACGAGCGGAGGTGAACGCCGCAGGCAGCGCGGCGGGCGCAGCCCAGGAAGCAGCAGATCGAGCGGGTCAACTGGCAGCGGCTGCAGCGGCAGTTCCGGTGGACCCGGGGCCCGAGAGGAGAGGGTGGCCGCAGAGATGAAGATGCTCGGCGAACCAGAGATGTTCGACGGAGCCAAGCCGCCGCGGCGAGACCGGCCAGTGATGTTCGAGGCCTTCGCAGGAGCTACGGTACCAAACATGGCCGCGATGGCAAACGCAACAAACTGCACATTCAGCGACCCCAGCCAACCTCGTGCCCAGCGACGAGCAACGCGAAACCTTGTGTTTTAAATGATTTTTGGACAGTCGATTTCGAGACCCTTACGAAACGGAAGGTTGTTGAAGGATTCCAGCACGAGCGCGCGACGACGCGCGCGTGCGCACTTCGTCTTTTTTTGCCAGGGGCCCTTTAAAACTGATGAGTGTTGATAAACGAGTGCGCGCGCACAGTAGTTGTGGCGGAGGATCACGGGAGGGGTGGATACTGGCTTGGTTGGGATGGTATGAGTTTATATGTAGGATGGATGATGAGGCAAAATCAGATGCAAATTGCAAAACGAAAACGGGGGCAAATAATCCCGGGGAGGAAGGGGAGAGTAGAGCCCATCTTCTGTTTAGACGGGAGAATCAACGCGCTGGTGCAACTAACGAGGGGCAGCCCACGTGGCGCAAAGCGATGCAAAGCGATGAAAGCAGTGCAAAGCAATACAAAGCAACGCCAAACAACGCAAAGATATGCGAATCAAAGCAAAACAGTGAAACCATGCAATGCGACACGATGCAAAATCACGCAGTGCAATGCAAAGCAACGCAGCAACGCAAAGCCATGAAAAGCAACGCAAAGCAAAGCAAAGCAACGCAAAGCAATGCAAGGAAACGCAAACAATGCAATGCAAAGAAAAGCATTGCAATGCAAAGCAGAGCGAATACAAAGCAACGTGAAGCACTGCAAAGCAGCGCAACAGCAACACAAAGCAACACAAAAGCAACGCAGGGTAACGCAAAGCCGCGACGGGGCGGCGACGGCGACAACATCGCCGCCAGACCGACAACCAGGCCCAGAAGATGGGCGGCGACGAGGCGGAGACGGCGCGGCAATGGCGACAACATAGCCACCAAACCGACAACCAGGAGACGGGCGGCGACGGGACGGCGACGGCGACAACGTAGCCGCCAGACCGACAACCAGGCCCAGTTCCTTAGACCAGAAGCAAACACCCCTAAGTGCAAGCACCGTTTGGGTAGTAGTATATTTTTACGTATATACTTAGATGTGTGTATGTACAGGTGCGTGCATACATGAAACCCTGGAAACGCGGACAAGGGCGAAGAGTTGCATTGAGCTCGAAATGTCCTAAGAGCAGCCCGCCGCAATCCCCACTTCAAACAAACCAACACGTGCACCTGGCGCCACCATTCGCCCCCAGGCGGGACCTCGGATGGCCCTCTGCCTCTATTGGACCTCCTTTGCCCTTCCGGGCACACCCCCTGGCGCCCCACCAAACAGCCCTCCACCCTTGGGGCCACGCTCCGCTGCCCCTACCCCACCCTGGAGAAGATGAGCGCAGCAACAAGTGTTCGCCCCGAGCCAACCAGGCAACACATGCGTGATTTCGAACTGATCCTCGCAGTCGGGAACACCCAAAGATTGCCTCAGGTTCGGCGAGCTCGGAGTGGTGCTAACGCAAGCACGCACAACAGCAGCGGTTGAATTTATGGTATGCATGGTTGCATGGGTTATTGTGAGTGGCCTGAAGCTCCCCACCCACCGAACAAAATGGCAATGGCCACACACCAGATTGCGTGATTATTTCCTGTTCCAGGATAGCCCTCTCTCCCCGAACTAATGTGTGTTGGCGCATTGTTGTGAATTGGCATCACAGGTGGGTTGCGCACGTGCGGTTGAAATGGCGAGTTGACGGATGTCAGTTGCATTGTGATGGCCGTCTTTCTCTAGTGTGATGGCCAGTTTGCAGGCAAATTAGGTTGCAAGCAGGTCTAGGCGTAATGGGGTAAGTATTTGAATTGAAGGCGCTGCATTGAAGGCTGCGCTGGCAGCGGATTGCGTGCGTCCTATCCCCCAGCCCATCTCCCCCAAAGGGTAGCCAGTTCTTCCCAAGATAATGGTGGCAACTGTACCTGGCCAGGGCACGCAGCGCAAAGAAATGTGCGGTGCTGCAGATTGTGAAGCGCTAAATTTCTGCAGCTGGGCGGGTCGTGCAGCGGCTGGTGCGGTGCTGCTCTATCTTGCATGTTGTTTGGAATGCATGGATACGCCCGTCATGTGTCCAGTCCTTCCTGCCATTCAACCTCCTCCCAAAGACGAAAAAAATGAGAAACAGACGCTTCGGGAGTTCCACGCAGATTTCTTGGATCGGCGCTGGGCGCCGCCCCTGTCGCGGTCCGCGCGCCAGGGATGGGGGTCCAGCGCCGATCCAAGAAATCCGTGCGAATCGCTTCCCACCCCTGGCCGTGCGGAAGCCTCAGTGACTCGACACTGAAATGAGAGCAACCCCCAACGGGCAGAGTGATGGCAGTTGTGCAATGTGGTTGGTTGGTTGGTCTGACGAGCAAATGATATGTTTGCTGGGCATGGCGTTTCGCGTGTGGGAGAAATTGATGTTTCGAAAACGTCGAGTTGCACAGCACTGTTAGCGATGAACACAGCATATGGATTGGCGTGAACATGACCCTCCAGTGCACATCTCTCCTTTCGCCTCATCCGCCCTGGAGGAGTCGAAGAGTCGCAGCACCATCAACGACGGCTACACATCCGACCACTCCGTCGTCTCCATCTGAAGACCGCCGTGCCCGGATCAGCATTCGCTCCAAAGTACGCGGGTTTGCGCGGGGCTCTTCTTGTCTGTGCATTCTGCCATCCGCGCTTTCGCGGAGCTGGTTGCAGCGAGCTTGTGGACGTTCTTGCAGGCGAACTTGCGGACGGTCATCGGATCTTTTCTGGCCCGCGGGAGACCCGGGCGTTCTCTTGACATATAATTCTACGCTTTGAGCAAGCTTTGAAAGCTTCTGCTTCCATCATCCCTGGGCGACAAGCCGACTTCTGGTAAGGAAGAGCTAGTCGAGAAGCTAGGAGGAGGAGGAGGAGGAGGAGGAGAAGAGAGGAAAAGGAGGGGCTAGTAGAAGGCGGCCACCTGCAGCACTCTGTAGTGCGAAAGCGTACCGGCTTTGAATTTCGAAGGAGCGCGGGGTTCTGATTGTTCATGCGGTTGAATTTGTTTATCTGTAGTTCGCACGTTGTTTGCCCGTAGTGTCACCGCGGCGTTTTGTGTTCTCCCGCTCGTGCGTTTCACCACGCTCGAGCTCGAAGCACGAACGTGTCTTTTCTGATTTTTCTTGTTATCTCCCAGGGCCGATGGCTTGCGCCAGGCCAGGGAGCCAAGTTGTGAGTTGCTGGCTCGTCACGATTGCGATTGCGTTGTTAACGCGATGCTCCTGCTGCTATGTAGAAACACGCGCACACACGTGCGCGCGCACACTCGCACACGCACACAGATATACACGCGCGCACGCACGCACGCACGCACGCACGCACGCACACACACACACACACACACACACATACATTGACACACACACACACGCACACACTAACTGTTGAAGGTATGGCGGTAAGGGTACACCTCCTGTTTGCAGATTCTGTGCAGAGACATCATCGTGCACACAGTTGAGCGTGGCGTGCCTATGGGCACGACCCTGGCTCGCAGCCAGCCCGAAGAAACATGTACTGGGCAATAAATGACAGTGGCAAGTCAAGCTACGCATTCCACATGGCACTGCCAACGAACATCACACACACACACACTTTTTGCGTCGGCGGCTAGGCAGAGTCACTGCGCTGGCAGAGGGGCGCATGTAGGATGCACGAAACTCGAATTGAGCCGCGGTGCACGGGGGAGGAGAAGGGGCCCGGCGCGAGCAAGAGGGAGCGAGGAGCCAGGCCCGCTCAGACGGGGCCGGCGGCGGCGGGAGGGGCGGCGGCGGGGCAGCAGTTAGGGGTAGAGCGCCGGGGCACCAGCCAGAGGCGAGCGCCTGGGGGGAAGGCCCAGCGGAGCTGGAGGCGAAAACGTAGTAGCAGTGCCCACGGAGCCGAGGTCAGGAGACCTGCAAGGCGCCCGGAAGGAACGGCCGAGGAGGAGCCTCCCCGATGAGGCGACGGAAGGAGGCAGGCGGGCGTGTAAAAAGGGTACGACACGTGAGAGTCGGCCCGGCGTGGAGAGGAGCACGGCCAGGAGCCGAGGAAGCCGAGGTCGCGGCTGACCTGCAAGGCACCCTGGAGCCGAGAGAGAGAGAGAGGCTGGGCAGCCGGCACAGCCCAAACGGGGCAATGCAGCCCTAGGGGGCGGTGGACGGAGGCGAGGGCGGGGCCAGCAGGAGCTGAGGTCACGCGTGACCTGCGAGGCGCGCGGAGAGGCCGGCCGGAGACCGCACCACGAGGCGCGCCGCCCACAGCGGCCGGCGGGCGGGAGCGAGGGGGACACCAAGCGAGGGCCGGGTTGGGAAGCGAGGCAGCACGTAGGCTCCGCGGATGCCGAGGTCGCAGATGACCTGCGAGGCACCCTTGTAGTGGCGCGAGTCAAAACTGGCGGGGGCGACCGGGGCGTACCGACCCCATGGGGGAAGGAGGCGGCGGCAAGGCGGGCGGGGCACAGGCGCCCAAGGCAGGGAGAAGCAGCTGCATTGGGCAGAGCAGAAGCAGCCAGGGGGTAGTGGGGTGGCACCGAACTGCTGCATTGGAAAGTTGCGTAAACCGGGCCAGAAAGCGGCACTCCGTTGGGGGTAGTGGGGAGATAGGAGCTCAGTCCATCCCAGCCAGGGCAGGTGGGCGCCCCAGGGGGACAAAAGCGACCAGGGCCACCAGGGAGTTGCGCACTTGGTTGCGCCATCAGCATCGACTGGAGGACCCCGAGGAGCGGTGCCTGGAGTAGTCGTTGCTGGGCCAGGTGGTGTCGGCAAGCCTCTTGCCCTTGCCTTGCGGGGCTGGGCGATTCCGTTTGGCCTTCCCTCTCTTGGATGCGGTGCTCCTTCTTTGCATCTCGCGGCCCCAAGCAGTTCGCCAATCGACCTGCTTCGGTTCCAGCAGAGGTTGCGGACGCCGAAGTTATCCTGGACGAGTTCGGTGACGAAGCCTTCGCAGAAGTCCTCGCACAGGAGCCCAGGGTTCCGGGTGGACCCGGAGAGCCCTGCACGGCGGTCGCAGGCCGCGTTCCAGCCGATGACGAGAGCGGGACCGCATTTTTTGAGACGGTTGACGGTTTCGCGCCAGTGCTCCCTCCGGCCCTCGGTATAGTTCCAGCTGGGGTGCCATCTGATGGCCTGGCGTGGCTTGTCATACAGCGCGTCGGTGGGATCCCATTGGGGGGCACAACTGCTCGGCAGGATTGCTGCCCGGCGGGGGCGGTCAAGCTGGCGCCAGGGGTGACCACCCCCGCTGGAGTTGCCACAACCGCCAGGCGCAGGCGTGCGCGGCGCGGCCGGAAACAGGTCGATGCGGGGCGTTTTGCGAGCGGGCTCGCCCGTGCCTGCTTGCGCGCCGTCTTTGGCCAGCTCTGCCTGGAGTTCCTGCCCGCGCGCGGGGCTGGCGTCGCATCGGTCGCCGCCGTCACGGAGGGGGGGGCTGCGCGGCCTGGGCGCGGCAGGTCCCGCCCCCGGGCGCATGGGATTGGCGGGCGGGCGCCGGTCGGGCGACGGGCCCCAGCCGGGGGCCTCACTGCGCGGCGGCGCGGGAGCGGCCGGAGGGGGGAGTCGGGGGTTGGGGGCGCCCTCTTTAGCGACGCGTCTCTTTGAGCGCCTTCGGGGCCCTCCCTTGCCTGGCCTGGCCCTATGCCAGCGCCATCGCGCGCGGCTGATTCGGCGCCGCGCGGGGCGGCTGGAGAGGTGCATCTGGCCTGGGCAGTACTGCCCGGTCGTGGGCTGGCGGGAGCGGGCGACGCCGGCGGCTTGGCGGGCGGCCCGGAGAGCTCGGCGGGTTCGCTCGAGGCGGCGGCTCCGCGGGGCGCGGGCGCTCGACTCTGGGCCCGAGAAAGGGAGGCTCCAATATTGTAGTGGATGGAGCGCCGCCCCCTCTGAATGACGAACGAGTCGCGCCCGTCGAGCCGGGGGCAGGTCACATACGCGGACGGACCTGTGGTAGTCAAGCAGAGTTTCCTGGCCGTTGCGGGCGGGGCCCCACCCCTTCTGGTTAGCGTTCTTGTCGCGGGCCTTGCTGTGGCCATCCCATTTGGACGGCGCGTCGCGGTCGCCCGAGAGCATGGGCTGGCGTTGCTGACTGCGCACATAGCTCGCGACGTGAACCACGGCAGCGCGCCTGCCGACCCTGTCGACGCCATCGGGGACCCTGGACCGGGGGACGGCGCGGCCGCGGATCGCGCGGAGGACCTCCCCGCGGAGGTCCTCGGAGCAAGCTCTGGGATCGCGCGGAGCCCCAGCCTGAACGAGGGCATCGCCGCGGCGCGTCGCGGACCAGACCCCCCACGCGTCCTCAAGCTGGGGGCGGAGGGCCTTCGCGCGGGAAACCACGACGCGGGAAATTGATGTGTCTGCCGTGTTTACGCGAGGCAGTGGTGGGATGTGGTCCACGGCCCGCAGGCCTGCGATGCCCCGTGCACTGAGCGCTGGGAACGCGGGGGGGTCACGCCACAGTGTCCCGTCCAAAATTCTGGGACTTTCATGGGGGGGGCGGCCCGTGCCCGCAGGCCCGCGACCCCGCGCCGCGGTCGACCGGCGGCTGGTCGGAGGTTGGCGGGCGCGGGCGTCGGACCCCGGTTCCCCGCGCGGGCCCCGCGGGCGGGGTTGCTGTCTCGGGTCGAGGCGCGGTGGGGGCAGGGGGGCGGCTGCCCTTCGGGCTGCGGCTGGCGCGAGGCGAGCGCCCTGGCCGCTTGTCGCGCCTTGCGGGCGCGCTGCTGGACGCGCCGCGACGGGGCGCCCGGCGGCGCGGCCAGGCGCCGTTGACCCGGACTGGCGGAGGGCAGGCGGCGGGCTGAGCCGCGGGCCTGGGGGCGGCCACCCTTCGACCGCAGGGTTCGACCCGAGCGAGGCCCCGGGGTTTGCGATTCACGGCGCGGGGCGGGCCTGGCCCCGAAGGGCGTCGCGCCCAGCGCGCGGCGAAGCGTCTGTGCTCGAGAACAGCCCGAGCGGGCGGGACGCCCGCCCACTTGGGCCGCCAGAGGGCAGGTTCCGGCTGGAGGACCGAGACAGGGGCAGCGGTAGCGGGGCGAGCGCGGACGGGATGCACCCGCGGTCTGTGGCGCTGCGGGGGGAGACCACAGCCCAGCCCCTGGCGACGATGGCCGAGACGCGGTTGGACGGGCGCCCCAAAGGTACACGAGGCAGCCAGCGCAATGCCAGGCGGCGAGACATTGCTTGGACGCGAAGGGCTGCGCGCGGCCATGGAAAGGGGGAGCGCCGCGATCGCCCGCCCACCAGGCCCTGACCCTCTTGCCGAAAGATGAAGGCCCCTAGAGGGGCTGCCCGCTCGGCCATTCGAGGAGGGGGCATGCGCCGGGGCAGCGATCACACTTACATTTCCATGAGCAGAGCAGGATGCCCCGTCCGAATCGGTCGTCGGAGGTGCGCACCACGGGGATAGCGGCGTTGACGCGGGCAGGGTCGCGCGGGCCACGCGGCTGCATGAATAGTGCTGAAAGTGGAGCATCGGCGTCAGGGCTGGCCGTGGGAGGTCGAGCCAGCAGGGGGCCAGGAGTGGATTTGCGCGCGGCGAGGGCGGGGCCTTCGACGCGGCAAGGTGCGCCGCAATTTTGTCGCCCGCGGGCGCCGGCTGGCCCCTTGTGAAGAGGCCCGATCTCCAGCGGGCGACGCAGCGCCACCTGCAGTCCTGCCATCTCTGGTAGTTTCCAAGCCTGCTGGCTGCAACCGCCCCCCCCCCCGTCTCAGAGGAAACCCATGCGCCTCCGTCGTCCTTGCGGGGGCCGAAGGGGCCCCGGCCACAGCTGTCGCAGAGGACGCCGGGGGACTGCACCGCGGCGCGCAAGCGGTTGTCGCCCGAATGCAAGTTGAGCGGGAAGAGGCATGCCCGTGGGAGTGCCCCAGAGGGGGGGCGCCCGGTGGAGGCCCTTCCCAGAGCTTGACAGCCCGACTCCGAGATACTGGAGCGATAGCGTGATGGTCCTGGGGGTGGAGCCCGAGCGCCGAGCCGAGTAGCGCCCGCGATAGGCCGCAGATGGCGCATTCGCGAGGGCAGAGGCCCGAGAAGTCGGCGGGGGACGCAAGCAGGCTGCACCCCCTCTAGCGCGTGCTTCAGGGGGAAGTCCGCAGCGGCCGCTTGCTTCCAAGTCACAGTCTGGTGCTGCGGGCCCAGGTCTGGGTGCTGGTGGGCGACGGCGACCAGTTTGGAACACGCTTTGATGAAGGCTTCCAGGTGGCCGTGGAGTCGGCGGAAGTCATCGTCAGTGAGGTTGCGCGCCTCGCCAAAGCTGTCGAACGGGGCGACGCGCTTCGTTGCTGGGCACGCAAGTGCTTAGG